CTGTCAAAGTGAAGCTATCCCCCTTTAGCTAGAATGGTTGGTGTGTCCGATTGGAAATTGTCATTTTTGAAGTAAAAAAACCTTCCCTTCGCCCGAAAGTTATTTGGCTTATTCCAGGTCAGGTTCAAAGGTGAGAAGAACGAAAATAATTACCAGCTAATTAGCTGAGTAATGCATTAGCATGTATAATTAGGTTTTCGAGACAACAAGTGGAGCCTATATACGAGATGTATGCACCCTGTTTAAGGCGAATTTTTCCGTTACTTACACAAATAAGCCCTATTTTCATATTGAATTTAACACAGCCTTGCTTCCCAATGGGATGAGAACACCTTTTCGGAATCAGGGCTACGTGAACTTGTGCTCATATGATTGCGGGAAAAATCAACTACCATGTAGCAAAATTGGCTGTTTAGTAAAAGTCCCATCTTTTAAAAGAAATGCTTATTAAAGAGTGACTAAATGTTCTCGAAGCACACGACTTACATTGTAATCACAAGTCCAGGTGACGATCCCGGTACACTCGAGAAAGTAAGCTATTTGAAAGGCGAGTATGCTTCGGAAGTATCAGTACGTCTTAATTCTGTATCTTGAGGCCTACTCACAAGGTTGTGGTAGGAAATCACTTTAAGCTATCTAAGATGACTAAATTATTTTACGAGATGTATTCACCCTATTTCGTTTACCGGGATGGAGGACAGGTAGTGGAATTTTTCCACAATGATATGAGTAGAGCTGACGTTCCCATTGAATTTCACATAGCCTTGATTTCCCAAAAGGTGTTCACGTCCAAGCTGAAGTGAACTGCAGTTTCGACCTCGCATAGGCGTTATCAACACCCCAAGCGGGAGTCGAACCGTGACTGGTAGTTTCGCAACTCTGCTTATATACGAAAAATGACTAAATTATTTTTCCAGAATTACTGCCAATACTGAGACATGTATGATTATCGTCTCATTTCTCACTGTAGATTAATGCGACGGCTCCGGTTTGCATTAGATTTCGTCTCGCCATCCACTCAAAGGGTCGTTTCATTCTTAGGCTCAGTACCCAGCTCAATGGTAATCGCGGCGACTAACCGTGAATGTTGGCAGCATGGCGACGGGACATTTTAAAAATGTGTAGAACAATAATCAGGCGCCTGAAAGCTGTGGAACGAGTCTGGAGCCGAGAATAGGGGAAACTTAAGCAGTTTGATACGTTTATTCCAGAAGAGAGTATCAAAGATGATGCCTATTGTTCAATATTATTAACTAAGCTCCAGTTAAAAGGAGTGTGTGTGTCGTGGACAAATGGTTTTCTCGACCGGTCGTGGGCCTCAACTCGACAAGCTACCGCATGAATGATAAGCTGAGGTTTTTCATCATTCAAGGGACCGTGACCAAGTCAACCTGTCAAGGTCGCCTGGCAACTGTCGGTCTCAAACGGAGCGCGCATGTACACCGGGTACTCTCGGGAAGACATGAGCTTCGCCAGCACAGCGAAGGTACACGACTCAAGTCGGGTGGCACAACATTTTTGCGGCCTTGACTCTTTCCGCCTGAGGAGAAGATATGATACCCTCTTGACTAGAACCCGGTGGAAGTCAAGGCCAAACTGATCTTCCGTTGGATTGTCGGGTGAATACATGCCCACAAGAAAGGGCGGAAAGCGGACTATGAGGTGCATTCACTCTATTTCGTTTAAAGTGACGAAACTCTGATTATAAAATAAAAATAACATATTAGACAGAAAGATCTAGAATAATGCACCATCCTGGTCTTCACACCTTCGATTAACTATAGAATTAAGATTGCCAAACAATGTACCAATTACAGCCGGACAAAGAAGACTATTGTATGTCAATCATGCCATTTGGCCTTTTTAAACTGTTGTAAACGTTATGGTATCACTCCTGTATCTTGTGACTTTAAGAGACACTTCCATTCAGATAGGGTTAATGAGATTCTTCACCAAGCTTCCTTGCGTAAGTTACATAAAACCTATAATTTGGAAAGGAATAAGCTATTTAAGTTTATAGATAATACGTCAAAGCTCCGGCGTGATCTGGCCAGGATTCTGAATCTGGAGGCTTTTCACAAACTCCAGAGTATGGCCGGCAAGAAATCACGTGGAATCTCTGACTAAATAACAAAAAAATGCGACAATAAATTGCTTATGTATGGAATTTTAAGACAACTTCGATTAAAGTCAGTGTTCCAAGTTGAAGGGGTTAACAAGGCGACGACACCTACTGATCAGTACGACTAACGGAACAAGCTGGTGAATTTTTCCTCGTTTACCTTTGATCCTGAAACCACTACGATCCTAAAGAAAGGACTAAACTTTTCTCTTCAAAATGGCAGACATATTCTAAAGGACATTCTGGTTGAGGCCATCAATATCTCCGACAAGTTCTCTTAGGAGAGAAAACGGGAAATGAAGATGGAGATAATCGCTGGAATCTTGATACATTATAAACAAATGCGCAAGAACATATTTGCGAGGATACAAAGAACCCTAGAAAGGAATGAACAATTGGTTCTTCAGGCGAAAAAAAGAGGAGCGACAGTTATAATTGACATAAAACAATATACAGAGAAAATGGAATTTATACTGCAAGACAGGACTACCTATCGTCTACTAAGGAAGGACCAAACTATGAAGATCAATGGAACTTTACGGTACATGTTGAAAGATATGCCCAGGAACGGGGAAATCAATGGATGGACAATAAATTCACAAATAAAAAAGGATGCACGGCCAACAACAGTCTACGGGTTACAGAAGTTACGCAAAGACAGAGAACCACCAAGTTCATATGTCTGAAACTCAAGAAGGTAAAAGATAGATTATAAAACACAGTGAAGCACTCATATGAATTTCTTCAGAGGATAAAAGAACATAACAATTCAAGCAGCAGAATTACTGATAAGTTTTGACGTACAATTTATGCACACAAACATTTCTGGAGAAAAGGCGCTACTCTGGAATAATTCTCAATTTCGAATCTCATCCCAACTACAGAATAAAAATAGGCATACTGAGGAGCATGATCATCGGAAGCCTACAATTAACGGACGTGGAGTTCTGGGATGAAGAATTGGAAAAATTGACTGCGATATTCCTCGATAATGGATATCCGAGAGAAGTAATTCAAAACACACTGGCCATGAAGAGCCGATGGCAGGACGGCGATTATCGAAAAAAGATCAAGGCTGAGAAAGACTAACAAAAGTGGATATGCCTCCCTTCCTGTGAACTAGCTCAAAATCTCCAGCCAATATTAAGAAAATGTAATATTCAGCTGACCACGAAGGAAAAAACAACACTTCACAAATCGGCCCACGCAGCATGAGAGGGTAGATAAATTGGATTGCTCATGAGTTTACTGCATAGCATGCGGTATCTGCGAACTGAAATAGATTGACGAAACTGGGAGAAAAATTGGCATAGGAATCAAGGAACATCAAAGGCTCTGCAGGAAAATGGATACTAAAAGATGAGATATAGCGAAACACATCGCACAGACTGGACACGAAATCAATTGGAAGACAACAGAAAGAAGGGAAAGCACAAAGAAACGGAAGATTAGGAAGGCCATTGACATGATTGGGGAAACAATTTAATGAACATGAGATTTGAAGAAGGCAGAGTTAGTGATAACTTTGCTTATTGCCTAATCAAACTAGAAAAAACAAGGATACAACAAGACAAGTCAACAGGAGATGCCTGAATCAAGGAACGATTTTAAACCAGAGGAAGAAAGAAGAGGTTAAGGAGGTTTCAGAGATGAAGTGAAGACGCTTTCAGTGAGTGTAGTCAACTCGAAAAACAACTAAAATTGTTGAGCTTACTTACATTTCGAGTGAACGTGTTTGGTAAAGAGATTCGAAGGTCGATTCCACCAGAAGACAATGGCCGATTCCTCTTGACCAACTGTCGATTGGCTTTACTGAAACATTCCTGCTGACACTGTTTCTGAAGTAATCTCTTTCGATTCCGACGAAAAGGTGCTAAGCTTTCGTCCGTCATATGACGAACATCATCAGATAATGGTATCATCGTCACAACCAAATTCAAGCTAACGAATCAAGAAAACTCACCGGCGAATCCCTAAAAAGTGGTATATACACTCTACATTTGGCCTCTTTGATCATGTATAAAGTGATTTGATTAGTTAAAGTCATATGGCAACTTCGATGCCTGTGAGTGTGTCTGTATTTGTATATGTATGTACTTGTTTGTGACCGCTTATGCATGAAACTCGCAGTAATCACTCAAAGTAATTAGGACGGCAAAAGTAGCGTCTTTTATGGCCATCAAGGTTTGATGAGCCCTATCTCCCCCTTTCTACATTTAAGTTACAACCCTCAATCCCATTGTGCATGGTCGGACACACGTCTGGTTCTGTTGATGAGCCTTTTTTATTTTTATTTTTGGTCTCAATGCGAGAGTGAACGAGTGAGCTAAAAGTACAGAGAAGTCTCTCCAACATTAAAGCGACCACATGAACACATTATCTTGTAGCAACCCGATCTGGATAATGGGTCAACCTTCCCTCTAAAAGTGGGCATGACTGAAGAAAGCGTCGTAGCTTCCCTGAAAACCGTTTTTATTCCCCACTTCCTTACTTGCTCCCGTCTCCTTTTAGAGAGAGCGCACGAAGGTAAAGACAAA